GGGGAGAAATGCCAGATGTAGGTGATGGGGAGGAAGGCAGCAAATCACACTGACAGGTGTGTTCGTATGCAACAATTTTGCATGTTCTTCACAGGTACCCCAAAACCTAAAATGCAATAAAATAAATAAATGGGGGGAAAAAAAGCAGTGTCTAGAGGAAAATTTATAGCAATAAATACCCACATGAGAAGCGAAGAAAGATTTAAAATTGACACACTTTCATCAAAATTGAAAGAGCTAGAGGAGCAAGATCAAAAAAAAACCTCAAAAGCTAGCAGAAGACAAGAAATAACTAAGATCAGAGCAGAACTGAAGGAGATAGAGACATAAAAAATTCTTCATAAAAATCAATAAATCTAGGAGCTGATTTTTTGAAAAGATCAACAAAATAGATCACTAGCCAGATTAATAAAAAAGAAAAGAGAGAAGAATGAAAGAGATGCAATAAAAAACAATAAAGGGGATATCACCACTGACTCCACAGAAATACAAACTATCATCAGAGATTATTATAAACAATTCTATGCACATAAACCAGTAAACCTGGAAGAAATGGATAAATTCTTGGACACTTGCATCCTCCCAAGCCTAAACCAGGAAGAAGTTGAAACCTTGAATAGACCAGTAACAAGGGCTGAAGTTGAGGCAGCAATTAATAGCCTACCAACCAAAAAAAACCCAGGTCCAGAGGGGTTCCCAGCTGAATTCTACCAGACATACAAAGAGGAGCTGGTACCATTCCTTCTGAAACTATTCCAAACAATCCAAAAAGAGGGAATCCTTCCAAAATCATTTTATGAGACTAATATCATCCTGATACCAAAACTTGGCAGAGACTCAACAAAAAAAGAACACTTCAGGCCAATATCCATGATGAACACAGATGCAAAAATCTTCAATAAAATACTGGCAAACCGATTGCAACAGTATATCAAAAAGCTTATCCATCACGATCAAGTAGGCTTCATTCTAGGGAGGCAAGGCTGGTTCACAGAACCAAAGATAAAAGCCACACGATTATCTCAATAGATGCAGAGAGGGCCTTCGACAGAATTCAACAGCCCTTTATGCTAAAAACTCTCAATAAACTAGGCATTGAAGGAACATATCTCAAAATAATAAAAGCTATTTATGATTAACCTACAGCCAATATCATACTGAACAGGCAAAAACTGGAAGCATGCCTTCAAAATCTGGCACTAGACAAGGATGCCCTCTGTCACCACTCCTATTCAATAAAGTATTGAATGTTCTGGCCAGAGAAATTAGGCAAGAAAAAAAATAAAGGGTATTCAATTAGGAAAGGAGGAAGTCAAATTGTCTCTATTTGCAGACGACATGATTGTATATTTAGAAGACCCTATCATCTCAGCCCAAAACCTCCTGAAATTGATAAGCAACTTCAGCGAAGTCTCAGGATAGAAAATCAATGTGCAGAAATCACAAGCATTTCTATACACCAATAACAGACTAATAGAGAGCCAAATCAAGAGCCAACTCCCATCCACAATTGCTTCAAAGAATAAAACACCTAGGAATACAGCTAACAAAGAATGTAAAGGACCTCTTCAAGGAGAACTACAAACCACTGCTCAAGGAAATAAAAGAGGACACAAACAAATGGAGAAACATTCCATGCTCATGGTTAGGAAGAATCAATATCATGAAAATGGCCATACTGCCCAAAGTAATTTATAGATTCAATGTTATCGCCATCAAGCTACCAATGACCTTCTTCACAGAACTGGAAAAAACCACCTTAAACTTCATATGGAACTAAAAGAGAGCCCGCATAGCCAAGACAATCCTAAGCAAAAAGAATAATGCCGGAGGCATCATGCTACCTGATTTCAAACTATACTACAAAGCTACAGTAATCAAAACAGCATTGTACTGGTACTAAACCAGAGATATAGACCCACGGAACAGAACAGAGCCCTTGGAGGCAACGCCACACATCTACAACCATCTGATCTTTGACAAACCTGACAAAAACAAGCAATGGGGAAAGGATTCCCTATTTAATAAATGGTGTTGGGAAAACTGGCTAGCCATGTGCAGAAAGCAGAAACTGGACCCCCTTTCTGACACCTTACACTAAAATTAACTCCAGATGGATTAAAGACTTAAACATAAGACCTAACACCATAAAAACCCTAGAAGAAAACCTAGGCAAAACCATTTAGGACATAGGCATAGGCAAGGACTTCATGGCTAAAACACCAAAAGCACTGGCAACAAAAGGCAAAATAGACAAATGGGATCTAATTAAACTCCAGAGCTTCTGCACAGCAGA